CTTGCTCTGTCCGCAGCCCACATGTCACCTATCCGTCCAATCGGCGATGTCTGCTTATTGAGTGGATGGCTTCTGGACAGGACATCTGCGTGTCTCTACTAGGTATGGTGAACTCACAAGACAATTGGCCGTAGGCGTGTACGCGCGCTTGAGATGAGGCCCATAAAACTTTTATAAGAGACCAGGATTTATACGGGACATCCTTAATCGCTCGACACTGCCACAATTTCAGACGATCACAGTCAAAAGCAGATTTGCGATTAAGAAATACGGCCATTTCCAGAAGTCGGAAGGTGTGATATAGTTTCGTCACCTGCCGCGCGGTGAAGATATGATCGATGAATTTACAGCCAGGACGAAACACAGCTTGATTTTGACTCTACCGATGACGGATCAATCAGCGTGGTTAATTCCAGATAGCACCTTGGAAACTATAACAATCTGGCTAATCTCCCGATGGTTTCTGCTTTTTCCACTTTCGAACATGGGAATCACCGTCGAAGCCCTCAACTCTGTAGGAATTTTCCTCTTTATCCCTCACATTTTGGAGCAGAGCCATTAAGTTAACCACGGCAGACTCACTACCCACACACTGTCTAGTCCGTCTACTTAGTTGCGCTGAAGTAATAATATTTCAACCCGTACTACAGATGATAGTGGACTGGTATCCACTAGGGGTTTAGTTAACCCTCCTGGAGGGTGGTTTGCTTAGCCCAACTGAACTGTTCTTCATAGTGTTCAGTCCATCGTTCAATACGACGTTTCTGTGATTGCATTTAGGCCCCATCCTTTAAATTACATCATATCTCCTCGGGCCATGTGCTCGGATTATCCGGGATATAGTGCGATTGTTCCTAGTTGCAGAGGATGTCTACACTTCCCAGGCTTTTATGATCCAGCAACGTCCTGTCCATAACGTTAAGCTCGTCATTATTCGTCCGTTGAGTGGGCTGTGCGCGTTAGCACAGTCGTTTGTTGCTGGTATATTTTTCATGGGTTCAATCGACGCTGCTGACCTTGACAAGATCCAGTGTTTATTGGGATGTGTAGGGTAGATGATCATAGCCTCTTCCACCTTTCATCCAAATAACCGTTCTTGTCGAGTTGAGATCTCAGGCAACTCAGCTGTGTATCATTGAGCTACAGAAGCGCTCTGCAAGTGGTGGACTGAGTGCTCTTGCATCAAGTGGTGCGTTCCAGAGGGGAACGAATAAGTACAAATAACCGTTCTTGTCGAGTTGAGATCTCAGGCAACTCAGCTGTGTATCATTGAGCTACAGAAGCGCTCTGCAAGTGGTGGACTGAGTGCTCTTGCATCAAGTGGTGCGTTCCAGAGGGGAACCGAATAAGTACGCTTGCCCGCACAACACTGTAGACGGGGTTGAGAAGTGGAGTCCAAAATGAACGACAGCCTTTTATCGAGCCCCCCACTGATAGACGAATGCCACATAGACTAACTGTGCCGATGATTCGTTTGCAGTGGCCTCCAAGTCATAATGCGGGCGATAGTGCTGGCTAGGAACAAATGATATCGATACATAAGTGAAGAATTTGTTCCCCATTATCCACCCAGACTTCACACATTTTCAGGAACCAGGTTCACCCCGTGTGACACGGGACTATCGGGGACGTTGAGATAATCGCCTTAGCGACTAAACACCCACGAAAATGTATCACGAAGGAGTGTATTCCGTCATTTCCGGGACCAGCAGAGCCACGCGGATGCCCTTACCACCACTTTTGTATGCAGGTTTGGCGTAGCTGCTTCACTCAAGGATCTTTGGTACTTTACGGGAGACCTGGGTACTCCTGAGTTGTTTTCACCTATTATGTCGAGGTCGCCCTCCCACCAAGAAAAAATATTTTTCCAATACAATTTTTCATAGGCTCTTCATATATACAGCAGTCTAGCAGTGTTGTTTATCGGCATTATTTTGTCGTTTCGGATTTAGTAACTGCTGAAATGGCGCATTAGCATTTAAAGATTCGAAAAGATGGTCGCGAGACTATTCAACCGGGGCACTTACAGCCGACCACCTTACCCCTGAGGCGCTGAAGCTCTCAACTATCGGTGATTTTCCCCTACGACATTCTACAGAAGGGTGATCCAGAGTAGTTCGCCTGTCACTTCTTGTTAGTCGGAATGCGGTAGGCAAAACAATAGAGGCTATTTACGACCAATGATAAGAACATAACTAGCAGGTCAGACGTCTGGCTGACATACCCTCATACTGAAAAACAGGCTAGTTTGTAAAGATCATGGATTCTCCTCCGGTTATCCCATCGTTCTTTTTCACCCGGTGTGTCTAAGCTAGGCTTGGTCAAGCTGGCAGTATCTCTGCTCTCGTGGTTCCTCTGGGAAGCATGGCAGCTAGGCACCAAAAGTGTTGCAGAATTGCTATTATTATCACTATTATTATTATTATTACCAGGTATGTTGTGATTTTCGTTGGCGCATTTTTCTGCGATTTGTTCTTTGCTAAGCCACGCTTCCGCTGCTGCTGATGATGATTTACCAGCTATCGCTTCCCACTCCACGTCTCATTGGCACTATACGATTTGGTACTTGCGGATGAACCGATTGAGGTAGTAGACAAATTTTTTTACCTGGACAGCTGCATCAATCCCGTTGGTCTCACGAAAGATGAAATCTCCATCCGGATTGGGAAGGCCAGAGCAGCTTTCGCGAACCTACGTCACCTGTGGCGTAGGCGTGACATCAGCTTCTCTGTCAAGGAGGACGTCAAAAGACTTTCAGTGTTTGACCATCGATGTCTTCGGAGCATTGCCCGAATCTGGTGGGAACACCGGATCAGAACTTCTGAAGTACGTCGAATGGTATTCGGAAGAAATAACTCACCCTCGATAGAAGAACTGATCACACTGCATAGGTTGCGCTGGCTTGGCCACGTGCCCCGTATGCCAGTCGACCGACTTCCTCGAAGGGCTCTTTTCGCATAACCACGTGAAGGGTGGAAGAGAGCCAGAGGCGGTCAAACAATGACTTGGCAGCGAGGTATGAAAGCCATTACCAGCAAACTCAGCTGCTCTGGTCATTGCCGTCTTCCTGGATGGGGACCCCGAGACGGGCCACATCAATGGCTAGAGACATTGTCGGATATGGCCCAGTTGCGCCCTCAAAGGTGCTCATGCATCCAAGCTATTGCCTTCAATGCATAGCTTCTTTTTCAACCCCCCTTCACTTGACAGTCCACTGACGGTGCTGGACTTATGCACCAATCTATCAGCTCCCGCCTACAATGCGCAGCTACCTACCCCTCCCCTCAAATCATCGGTGAACGAAACTGCGGCAGCTACAACCACTGTATGACGAGTACGCGGTTATTACAGCTGACAACGATGATGATTTTCTCCGTGCATATCTCTAGATTCGGTGGATGGTTTTGGTCGCTTAACATTATATCCGGCGGCTTAGGTGGTGTTCTACAAACGATTCTCGTTCATTGGCGCTGTCCAGCCACTAGTATCTCGTGAGCCAGGTTCACATGTGTATCGATCACGGACTGTTCTTTTGCAGTAAAAAGCTCCGGAACAGCGAAAATCGCTAGACAATGTGGTGCTCACCAACGAAGCAACCCTGAATCTAAAAAGACCACATAACCATCAGTTACTGGTGTCAATGATCCGCCGCTCGTTCTGGAATACCAACGTGGGTTCTGATCATGCAATGCTGCTTCTCATTGCGCTTTTCAGGCATAAACAAAACGTGAGCGCCTCACGTCGCTCAGCCACTGGGCGACTAAGTGGATCCATAAATTATCATCACCAAAGACAGCAACATCAGTGTTGGTCCTGATGCTTCACTTCAGAAATTAAATGAGACTATAAGAACCGGCTTCCCGAATGCTTGCGCGATGGTCCGATGTTAGATACCAGCGAACACTGGGAACAGGTATCCAGAGCGTTACTCAACGCCGGAACGTCCATTTGCGTCATAGCGCGACCAAACTCATCGAAACATTTGATCTTCGATAGGACTGCTGCTTTGTTGGAAGCTCGGTGACATTCCTCCTGGCCGCAACCACATCTCAACTCGACTCATCATCCGACGCCAGGTAAAACTGAATGCCCGTGCAGACCATGACATACACAAATAACAATACCCATGCCGTGCAGACCAAGAAGCCTGTTGGTCTTGAAAGGCTGAAGAAATGAAAGAGGCGACAGATGCTGGGAAAGTCCGCAGGCTGTTCCACTTGATTCGTTCGACTGGTTCCCGGATGCCTCTTGTCAGCGGAACTCTCAGGGACTGGAATGGCTGTCTGATATTCACCAAAGGATAACGTTTGAACCACTGAGCACAGCACCTTAGACAACAGTTAAGTTCGCCGCCTGCTACCTCTAATCCGGATTGCTCGCCTTCAACAGAAAAATGGGCCGTGAATATGAGGCTCCCTACAATCCTAGAAGTGTCCGAGAGTATATCCATTCCCAAGCGTCAACTTGCTCGTGGTCTCAAAGATCCTACACTCGCTCAGTTTAAGGTGAATTCCTCAGTCAGTGCCTGTCTACCCTGTTTGGGTCTATTTTGGAGAAAACGATCATCCCATGCAGGGTGAGTCGATAATAGTTGAGTGGGTCGATGATAGTCGATAATAGGTCTTCAAAAAGGGTGCTAACAGTGCGTGATAACCACAGAGGTGTCAGTTTGACTTTTGTTGTAACAAGACTTTCGTCGTCTTACGGCGGTGCGCGAAACCTTTATCTGTGAACATCAAACGGGATTTCGACCAGGTAGAGGCTGCGTCTACCACATCTCCATACCCTATCAGGTGGTAAAGGAACGTCATGTGTGCAGACGTCCCAAAATCTTGATGTTTCTTGACCTCAAGGGTGCGTTCAATTCTGTGGATCGGCCAATTCTGTTAAATACACTTGTTCAGCAGTGCATACCTTGGACTTTTGTGAACATTATACGGTCTGTGTTTTCATATACCTCCGTATGTGTGAGTGGCTCTCTAAAATCTCGCCTATGAAAAATGGTATCCGATAAGAATATCCAGTCCCTCCATTCTTGTTTAACTTCCCCGTTGATGAAATGATTAGGTGAACACTGGAAGATTGTCAATACTCCAGTGTTCAAATTGTTGCTGGTGAGAACCTTTTCCATCTGGGGTACGCAGACGACATCGCCTTCATAGTTGAAGGCGAAGGTGAAGCACAATCCATGTTGAATAAACTGACCACCCTCATCCAATCTTTTGACATGCGTGGCTTACCTTCAGAGTGCAAGACTATACGAACTCAGGTCTAGTTGATGCCCCTTTAAGCTCGTCCCGGGCAAAAAATCTGCTATTCCAGCGGTGGTTATAACGCGGATTTACTGACCGGAAGGTCCGTCGTTCACCCCCAGACTTATTGGTAATAACGAACGGGAATTCCTTAGTCTGTTATATGTTTGCTTGAATGTGACTGGTACGTACCTGTCCTACTTTCGAACGGAGGATCACCATGCCACGGGTCGTGTAAAATTCAGCCTCTCTTACCATCTAGTTCTTTCCTCTAACACACGCCACTGGGCCTGTTGGCGCGAACAAATAACCGTCGTCGTTTAGATGTCACTGCTCTATTTCGGTTTGCGTGGGCAATGCAACTTCTTGACTATCGCCTCATTGTCGTCTACCTGAGAATCCACAACTCGATCGTATGCTTTGTCAGGCAGATGGTCCGTGTTGGTGACTAATTTATCATTTCGGGTAGCTTTGGAAGTCGCTTTACAAAGCGGTAGCTTTGTGCTGTTTCTGTTAACAGCTTTGTGCGGCATTCAACCAAATCATTCTTCGTGGCGATTTTAAGTTCCGCAACACTGGATGGTCTTTCTCACCGCACAAATGGTATTAGGCGCTTTTTCTATCAGTTATTCATATCCACTATAAGCATCCTGGATTGATATCCCCAGCGTCAATTAGAACTCTAGTTTTGGTTACGTTGAGCTTTCGCGCGGAAACAACCCGTGCGAAAGTGCTGCCAATTATACCCCCGTAAGGGTTTAGGTCGTTGCCTATTCCAAGTCCATTACTTTGAAGTGGCATTCGGAAGCAAAAGCCGTCACACTCCTAAGAACCACCCCATTTAAAAGAGACAGTTAGTTACTTTACGACCCAGTCCAGGATTACCGGGAGACGTTCCATCCTCTTCAGTAGAAATGTGAGGTCAGATTTTTAAACAATCGTTTTTGAATTTGGCGGCGGTACCTTACTCCGGATAGCAGCGTGTCAGAAGAGGTGGGTAGTAAAAACTACGGGCACACCGCCACCTTGAGAACGGTTGACCATAGTCCATATCCAGTGCGGCTGAATCAACTAAACCCGACCAAGAAATATCCCAGGTCCGAAAGTGCCAGTTGTGCACAACAACATCCGGACATACCAGGCCTCCACTCTTCCTTGAAGTTTTCTGCTTCATCAGGGCAGGGTCCAACGGAAGACAAGCCGACTTCATAGTTATCGGGTACTGCGGCTTACGATTCACAACCAAGGGCGAGATGGCTCAAGTAGTTAGAGCCACGGAAGGTCCGTGGTTCGAACTCGACCTCTGCCTCTCGACTTTCTCTGTCTAGGCTTTGACAACCTGGCAGTATCCCATCCCTCGTGCTTCCTACGGGTGGCATGGCAGCTAGGCGCCGAAAGGGTGTTACAGCTGAACTCAACCAACTGGTCAACCTTATCGCCTTCTCAGTCGATATCCAGCCACCCATCCAATTGAGCGCTAATTTTTAAGCCGTTCTACTGTGCCGCACACAAAGCATCGTTATCTGAACTACCAACTTGCATGCGAAATATCTGTTGTTAACCAATTATGCACTTGTATTTTTCAGAGCCCTCCCAATGGATAAAGTCTCATCGTTTGGACGAATGTGTATCTTCCTGTTTTTCCTCACAAGTTGGTTTCTTTTGTTTTCACAAATTATCTTTCCTTCCCAACTAGTATGTTTACCCTGTGGCAAGTCGGAAGTACTGGAACTGGATAGCAGGTCAGTGCATTGGCCATTACTTTTGATCGTCTTAACGAATCGAGATAGCTTGGTGGTTAGGAAGTGAATTTACTGACCGAAGGGTCCATGATTTGAACCCAACCCCCAGCATCTCAACTGCTCCTGTGTATAGACTTAAGCAATCTAGCGGTATCTCAGCCTGCCTGCTTCCTTTGGGAAGCATGGCACCAAAAAGGTGTTACAAGTGGACGATTATATCGTTTTTATTTTGATCTGTTACTTGTAGTTTTGGTGAATTCTGGAACAACGGGACTCCATGGCTTGTTAACGTAAGTTTGACCCTTGCCGCTTCATTTCCAGCTCATTATTAGTTCTATGCCCCATGGTGTGGACATTGTCGTCGACTTTCACCCGTCTACACCGAAGTCAGCCAAACACTTTCTGAAATTGCCCCTTCTACTCGGGTCGCAAGGTTAGACGCCTCATCTCATCGTGATATTGCAAAGAAGTTTCAAATCAATGGTTTCCCGACACTCAAATTGTAAGTATTCCGTTGCATTTTCATCCTTTGTGCTTTCTTTCGGTAATTCGCTTTCAAGTGCTTTTATAGGTGGTCATTACTCGATTCGGTGCCTTTAACTGTATCGATTCCGGCTTTTTAGAGAAGCTTTTTTGTTTTGCTCTCTTCTAAGCATTCGGATGACGTCTCTTTTTAGCACTCCACCCTCCTTAAGGTTCCTCAAGTACGACCATGTAGCTCTGCCTGGCAGTTGCAATGTTTAGGCCATCTCTCCCTATTTTGACCACTTCTCTGAGACTTCAGATTACCTTAGCTTTTTCGAGATTATGTTGTATTCAAATACGATGCTCCTCCTCATAAGGAGCATTCTTTTTTCAACCGCCAGTAGTCCCATACTTTTATAGTTTATTAGGTTGGGTTCCGCGGAGGTCCCTCTATAAAAGTATTGTTTATTTTTTGAAGAGCATGGTCATGCAAGCGATCGATGTGGAAGAGGTGCAGGAGAATATAAGGTAAAAAGGGAGAAGCGTCTCATTCCAAGTCTTGCCACTAACAGTTCCGGTCAGATGAGATGAACCGCGACCTGTGCAAGAATGTTTGGTATGGAAACCTGCGTACAAAGACCGGTTACCGAAGAAAGGACGAACAATCCGGAATGCTCTTCAAGGCGCTGTAAGCGCTAGCACAGTCAAGACTCGCACATCAGGCACAAAGTGTCCGTCATACTGTGTCTGGTGAGTTAGTGGCAACAATGTACACTCAACAATGTACCACTCATAAAAGTGTCGTAAGTACGCAGAGAGCCCACAATGGAAAGCAAATACAAGTCACTGACTGTGACCTCAGAAAGCCCTAGTCCAATAACAGTCTTGGCGGATTGAGGAAAGCAAATCCCTCGATGAGAAATGATCATCGGTTGCTGGACCAAAGAGTTGACATCACAACCGATTGCACGTAGGGTTTAGATTATGGCGAGGGATTATTCATCCAACGGCAACCGAAACACCTGGTTATAATATCCCATTTTACTACGCTGTGTCTTAACTTTATACCTTCCACTCCAAACGATTTCCTTCCCAGTTTGTGCTTCTAGCCCACATCGCGTTTCTCTATCATTTGCGTTCGTTTTCGTCTGAGTGAACTGGAGAACATGTGACGCAGACATGCTATCTGTGTGAAGTATCCTAAAATTCTAAAATCCTATTGAAGTCCAGGCTTTCAGAACGCAACAACACAAATCGATATTCACTGTGATTGACAAGGTTGCGGTTGTTGTTGTCGTCTAAAAGTCGTGCAAAAATATCGATTTGCGGCAAACCACATTTCGGCGAAAACGAAGCGGTTTCCATGGTCCAGAGTGATTTTATCACTCCTCCCTCCCTGGAGTCCTGCTGGATGCACTTTACGTTCCCCGGAATTTCTTATCCAGTTCGTACTAACGGTTCGCTGCTAGCGATCTTTTCGTCACTAAGACTACTGCCGGGACGGGAGCAGGCATCTTGGCTTGTTGATATCTTACCCATAAAGGTCTGTCGCTCTAGTCAGGACACACACTAACCCAAGCGATGGGAATCGGGTTTTGTTAACCAAGCTTATCATGTAAATGAACTGATGTGTACTTTGTTAGCGTAGATGCAAGGCTATTGAATATCTGAGGCATACAGCACTACGGTTGAATTTAGAAGCACCGGAGACGGTTCAAATTAGTTAGTTGCTCCACTCCAAAAGAAGATACCTCCGTCCTGGACATATGTTGGTAATTCCTTGGGGCGATATGGCCCAAGTGGTTAGAGCGCGAATTCACTGACCGGAAGGTCTGTGGTTCGAACCCGATCAGCTCTACTTTTCGACTTCCCCTGTCTAGACTTGGGCAACCTGACAGTATCTCAGCCCTCGTGCTTTCTTCGGATAGCATGACATCTAGGCACCGGACGCTTGGTAGTTCCTTGAAATGTTTTCCTGTATAATAAGGTACTGAACTACACTTTCCTCGAGTTTCCTATATCTTTTTTCCTTCTGTCGATTAACTGCATAGCTGTGTCTGGATACTTGGGTTATGTCCCACGTGACTGAGACCAATGCGGGTGCGACAGTCCCTTGTAATCAGAGTTTTGTGTGTATGTGACCCCTAATATGACCTTGTGACACTGGTAGGGGCTTTGCCTTTCGATACTTCCGTTGTAATGGTTACGGTGAATTTCTCCTGAAGGAGGGAGAATATCCAGAATCGTTGTCGTCCAGAAGGTTTGAGGTTTGCGTTCCCTAGTAAGTATCTTTCATACATGAGATTTTGAATCTTTAAAGCGTATCGAGCACAGTGAATCAGCATTTTTTGGGCAGCAAAATTCGTCACTTCACAGTGGCCTGTGAGTCATCATCATCGACAGCATGCCATCAGTGCTCAACACGGATGTCTCCCTGCCGTACAACCATGATTTATTCGAAAGTCTGATTGTGAAGAAAAGAATACGCGTTGATGAGGACTTGGTACTAGCTTACCACAATCACTCTGAGGTATCCACACATCCAGACACGCATTTAGACAACCTGGTTAGAAACTGACAAGAAGAACGCCATCGCACATATATAGGTTATCCTTCTGGTCAAAGTTCGTACTTCATGACTGACGCTTGCATAGTAATCAGCCGCGTCGGTCCTCTATTCTTTCATCCTCGCCTCGCCTACTCTCATGCGATCGCCTCGTCTGAGCCACACTCAGAAATGAAAACTTTTGCATTTCATCCGTATGGTTTATTTTTACCAATCACTCGACCATGTGACAGAGTAACGTGATTGGCTTTCCTTCAGTTGAAGTATCAAATGGTCTGGCCTCGCTGACAGGTAGGTTTGACGTCAACTGCTTTCATTGTTGTTTCTCTCAATTCTTATCGATCAATGGTCGGTGATTGTTTGGCATTGGTAGAACTAGTTAGCATACTTTTAATCAGAATCATCAGTTATCATCCGTTATCAAGAACTCGTTAGAAGGAAATACAGAAAAGCAGTCATAAGAAATATGTTACACTGACCCAGAGGACTGTTTGTTAAACCAAGTCAGGTGTGATGGGAATCCTGGGAGACCGATGGGTTGGAATTCAACTGTGAGGTATTCATTATGGAACTACAGTTTCTGGCTACTATTTAGACAGATTGATGAGGCTGTTTTGAATCGATTATTCCTATTCCACCCTCCCGCCCCCCTCTGATCCCATCAGTTTTGACGCGGAACGCACATTTGAACACGATGCCGAAAGAACCAGCAAAAGTATCGTTTCTTTTGCTCTGCGAGCACATGGGTAAGTGTTTGATGAACCGTGTTCAATGAAAAATCGAATTCTGTGACAGCTGCAACCTCTGATTCGTGGTTAGAGCATGTGAGTAGAATTGAACCGGACTTTTTAACCCGTTCTACTCGTCTCCTGGACTCGTTCTATGAACGTACCCTCAGCTTAACAGCCATGAAGAGGAAACGCTGCTTTGGTCAGGGACCAGTACACCTGGAGCCTTTCCTTCTTGATACCAGCACACTTGTTGAACGGAGTGATACATTCGCCAGACCTTTAGATAGTAGAAATGTAAAAAAAAGCGCAGGCCAAGCCAAGGGAAAGCAATTTTTGCACTTCCGAAGTTATTTTGATGGTTGTTCGGAGAGAATGCACCCGTACAGCTGTTCTACACAGTGTTTTGAATAGCTACACTCTTCGACTATTGTTAAATCAGGGCCAAGTCCGTTTGACTCACAGGTGATCTGATAACTGCCGAACATTGTACTGGATAGTCCAGCCGGATTTCGGTCATTCAGTTGAGGTTGTCTCGGTTCATTAAGAAGGCTGCTCACTGGCGCTTACGTTCAGTGGAACATTCTGTGGAGATCCCCGCTCATACCCCAATGAACTTGCCACCCACTAGTTTTCTGTGCTCTCAGTGACGATGTTTGATCGTGCAGCGACGGGTGTCTGTCCCACTGTGCGATCCAGTTCATCATCTAGTGGTGTCCCGCAAGCTAACACAGAAAGGGGTCTTCATTGGTAACACAGTTCTTGGGCTCCCGGAGCCCCTCGAGTGTTTGCCGAGAGGACTTTTCACTGCACTCATTAGGTTGGTTAGTGTGTTTGTACCACTCTGTGCCTTGCAACTTTTGATCGTATCGTTGTGCTCTGTCAGGACATCCAAGCAAAGATTCCGCCCTCAAGGTTCGTGTTTGATGCTTTGTTAGAAGATCTCACAGAATAGTTTGATTATTGAGTGACTGGACTTGGTGATTCGATGACTGGTTGTCTGACTTGCGTTGGCTTGTGTCTATCCACACAAATATGTATCCACACTTATAGGTTCCAGTCCTCAGTAGCTCGGAATGATGAGTTATCTGTCTAACTGAGTCATTCAACTGACACCCAGACATTGAACATTCTTGACTATCGTTGTACATTCTACATGGTTAGCACACTGGTAAGGAGGTTCATCTTGCCAAGCAAACTTTATCTATGCTGAAGGTTTGAGGATCACCATTCCATCCTGATCCTGAACCGTGAGTGGTTCCCATCTCACTAATTCCAACGTCGTAACTTGCAACATCCTGCACAGAAATTTAACCCTTTGTTATGTAAACTCTGTCCTGACCCTGTCTCCATTTTTCAGGATAGACCAGTCTGTCCACTAAATTGTGCGTCAACGGTCGCGCACGCCCGTTTTAGAAGCCAAACTAAGTCATTGTGAATTTCGGTCCTGATTCCGCACCACGACACATGAGGAGGGATGTTTACGCGAACTCCCCGGCATTAGGGTGGGTGGGAAGAATGTTTTGTGAAAGTCCCTTCAAATCGAGACAGCTCATTGGTTAAGGCGCGAATCTGAACCCAACGCCGGCCTTTCGGCTGCTCCTGTCTTAGCCTGGCCAACTCGGTATCATTTCAGTCCTGATGCTACCTCCGAGTGGCACTCACTGGAAGAATGCTACAGCTGTACGATTATTATTGTCATTTTTCCAATCAGGGGCCAGCAGCGGAATACCTCGTGATTACGTGTCACTTACGAATCTTTTGTACACTGCAATACAACGGAACTCACCGGCATGCTTCTCTATCCTCGCTGAAATGGCGCCCCAGCTCTGTGTGTTGCTGGTAAAAGGAAGAAGGCCTTCGATTCGGAGTTATTTATTGGAAAACACCACTGAACAAGTTACAGACTATTGGACAGGGAAGCAAAACTCATATGCATCTTGTTTATAAAAACTGTGTATCCATCTTCTTTTCGAACAGGTCTTCCCAAACTGTCCTGGATACTCGTTGGCTATCACTCAAACTTGAACAAGTGCTACAAAGCGGTTCCGAAAATTCCGTAATAAATCTCACTTCAATAGGCGTGAAGCGGACTTATGAGAAAACCACATGCTACTCGCATGTCTAAGCAGTAGTATCCACCCTTGCGACGACTGATCCTGACGATTCCAGTTGATTTTTTCTTCATAGGCTTCCAAGTGTTTGATAGCACAAGCTACCTTACTTTGATTCTGTAGAGGTCCTGTGACAGAATCGTCGCCATTGCCAACAAATTAGCCAAGTTTGCACCGAAGTTACGCTCGCCTGAGTTGCTAACTCGAATATCAGTGCAAACGCATCGCCCAACTTTAACCGACTTCGCTCAAAGACAAAAGAAGACGCATATATTCCGCACATTCCGTAGCTTAAGCTCACGGACAAAGAAAATTCGTGCTCTGTGTATGCTTGATTCTAATAAATTGGAACTGTATCCAGGTGCTCAGCTACCATCCAGGAAGATACACAATTGAGGTTCAGTTTCGCTTTCTTAGTTGCTCTTTCGGGTTGCGTATGAGCCATACAGCACAGCTGAATGACTTAATGATGAGAAATTCTACTGGGCTTGTTAGACGACTATCAGTGAGGAAACGCAAAAAGTTTTCCCAGTCTGGGGAGAACCAAATTTTCTTGTTAATAACTTATTTACCTTTCGTCTCAATCGGGTTCACGGTAGTTGGTTAATTCCCTTTATAAGACGAATTAGATCAATAATCGTCACTCGTAACGTGACCTGTGTACAAAGGTTGTTCTGGTGCAGACTATTGAAGTTCATCCGTTTGCTGACAAACGAATTAGGGCTTGGTACTCATTCTTCTTCCCGAATATCCCCTTCGTGTCAACAATCCTGAGGGCAAAATATCACTGAAAATCCACCCGGTGCTCAGTGACAACTGCTTTGTAGCCTGATCGGAAGTCCCCTTGTTCGTATTCACACTTCTGCAGGAGAATATTAGTGTAGGTCTGTTGTTGTTACGCCGTGCTCTTGCTTCGTCGCGAGCGCTATGTATGAGCAGAGGCATTTTCCCTTTATTTCTTAATATTGACTTTGGTTTCGTGCCATCTTCCGCAGGTCCAGCTGTCAGGAACAAGTCTTCCGATTGCTCTTCATGGAGTGACTAGTCTGTCACTGGTATCATCAGCAGATGGGATTCGTAGCAGTGTGTACTACAGTACTGGTTGAGAAATCGCCTAGGCGGGATACCGAAAGGTTTCCTCATACAAAGGTCATTTCATTTTCGTCATCAGGAATATTGCTCTCGATACACATGGTTCTTCAACGTATTCGTCACCAATCCACCCACTTTGACGCAATCTAGTTTCTTTTCTCATCGCCATGTTCTTCTGGTCTCTTCTAGTTCAGTGTGGACTTCCATCGTTATCCGTGAACCGTTCCAGTGTTTATTTGGTCATATCTTACTCCACGTTCGTCTTTTCTTCAACCAGGTCGCATTTTACGAAGCTGCAGAGCGTTTTCGTCTGCTCACGTGGTTTCTTACCGTGGTTCCAGATGTCCTACCCGAAGTGAGTCTCGTTCCTCATGATTGATTACACACATTATATTTGTCAGAACTTCCTTCCTTTTTAATCTAGTTCTCATCTTGAAAGTGGAGTTAATCTTCACTGAAAAGTCAAGAACACTGTACAGCTGTTCCACCTTCGTTTGAAACTGCCACCAGTGCGCAGCTTATGACTATCTCGAAGGAGGGGGAAGTAAAGCCGCAACCGGATGACTGTGACAGCCGTTCACAGTTCGCTTGTCGGTAGTATGATATGACGTTTCCAGATAGCTTTGTCATATCGGACCATGCTGAGGGATCTCCGCGTACAGTAGGTAATGCCACATGCAGTTCGTACTGTTTCACGTACAGCAAACCACGCTCCAGAAGCCCAGTGTACACCCGAGGGAATAAGACTGTAAGATGAACAGGAGGAGACCCTGCTAAGCCGTCAATACGCTCCCGTCTTGACCCATAGTTGATGATGGTCAGTATCAGGAACACCGGATCTAGTTCACTGGCCGTTTTGACTTTTTTTAAATTACCGTCTTAGATGGAACCGGTATTAGCAGGACTAGCTAGTTCGCACTGTTGACTCTCGGTATCTCCTAGCTCATAAGTTCTTGTAAGCTTATCAGCAATGAACATAGGGGCTCCTTTTCGATACATACTCGATACACACGTACGAAAATTCCCTGCAAACGCTTTGGCGTTTCGCTTGGGTTCCCTAATAAAAGAGATGAGAGGTTTATGGTCCCTCATCGCCAACACCTTATCCACCAAACGTTTGTGAGCTGAATATTTCTAAGTTAAACGTCACTTTTAGCATATCCTCCCCTACTTGCCTTCTCGACGAAAACAGTCAGTGTTTGACTATCGGTGTCTCCGAAGCATTGGTCGGCTCTGGTGGGAACATAGAATTACTGATGCTGAGGGACACCAGCAGGTTGTAGTAAAGGGTGACTCTGGGGCGAGATAGCCGAAGTGGTTAGAGCGTGAATTTGCTGACTGGAAGGTCCGTGGTTCGAACTCGACCTGTGCCTCTCGACTTCCCCTATCTATGCTTGGGCAACCTGACAGTATCCCAGCCCTCGTGCAACCTTCGGGTGGCATGGCAGTTGGGCACCGAAAGGGCGCTAAGCTGAACGAAAAAAGCGTGACTCCCCTGAGATCGATAAGCTACTCGCACCTCATACGTTGCGTTGTTTAGAACATGTTTTGGACCGTCTGCCTCACAGCACTCTTTTTGCCTAGTCTTGTGCTGAGTGGAAGCGACTGCTGCCTCCCTGGATTGAAATCCAGCGTCTAAATTCATCAGTGGTTAATGACACTAACAGACGTGGCACAATCTCGCGGTCAATGGCGCTCGTGCCTAAAAACTAACGGGTCTTGCCATCATCCCCCACTGCTTGGCTATCTCTCATGTTCCTTCATTTTCCGGTGACCACTGGGACTAAGGTACCCTTGACACATGGTTTATCGCTGACAAACTGACTGACGATAGACCGCGACCCTTATTTTCTGTCCTCCCGCCCTCTCGAAGCAGTACTGCCTCCACACCATTTTAAACTATCGCATCGGGTTAGCAGTTGTTGATCTGTTCGTCCATATGCCTTCTGGTGTCCTTCAGAGGGGCGAGATGACCCAAGTGGTCAGAGCGCGAATTTACTGACCGGAAGGTCCGTGATTCGAATCCGACTCGACTTCCTCTGTCTAGGCTCGGGCAACGTGGCAGTATCCCAGCCCTCGTGCTTCCTTCGGGTAGCATGGCAGCTAGGCACCGGAAGGGTGCTACAGCTGAGCGCTTTTTTTCTTTCTTTGTCCTTCAGTAGATTTGCACAGCACACTCTTGTACGTCAGGAAACGAATCAGTTGCATGATCTTTGCGGGTTTTGATGAATGATGATTCAGCTATTCGGTGAAACGCACGCGTTTGCAAATTAGATTAATGTCAATGCGATGCTCATCTGAATTCCGGCTGGATTTCTCGTTTATGATATTCTTCAACTGACTGTGCAACACAAAGGATGACTTATATTGCAGTTGGCAGCACTACTCATAAGGTTACTGCAAAGCCTCCGACAACTCATGACAGGTTTCACCATTCTTCGGGCTCATCAGTTAGGCACCATCACAGGGTTTTCCGTCAACGTTGTGTTCTATTTGAACACCAAATTGTACGCAGTTGTACGCAGTCACTCGTTAGAAAATAGGTTAGTATTGATGAGAGATTCAGCTGAATCTCTTGTTTACGATCCATTTCAGTAGTATGTTCCGTCAAGAAATTAGCTCGGGCAGTTGGCTGTGCCGTTCAACCTAAAGACGCCTTCACTATTCTTTGGGACAGGCATACCCTAATTTGTCTGGGCTTCCTCTGAATTGGAACCATCCGGTGTCCATGGAAGCAACAGACTTGGAGCAATATTCCACTTTGTGAATAGATCACGGTTACCTCCTGCGAAGGACCCCTTCGAAGAGAAGCTGGACTGCTCACGTTAGCCCCTCTTTGATCCGTCTTTTGTTCGGCTCTAAACTGTGTACCAGGACACGGCGGTTCCCATCTGTTACAGTCTCGTTCATCGATGAAAAGGCGAATAAAGCACCAATATCCGCCTAAGCAGTTCCTTGGCGTTATATTGTGCTGTTCGGCTAATAAGGTATGAAGTAACGGAACTACGCATTGAGGCTAATAGACCTGTTGCAGGACCACCATTGGTCGTGTTAGAGAACCATATCTGCCAGGATCGCTACTGGTTCGCATGTCCCGTCTCAAGGTATCCACCCGTAGAGATGGCAGTTGTAGACTGACTGCCCGTGTATCATGACCATCCGATGTATGACTGGGCAAATAAGGCTCAGCGAGGTAAAGCACCCTGTGATATACGGAGAACATGGCTTGACTAGCGAAGCCAGTGGTCTGTCAAGGAAGAGTTGTTTTGCACGTCACCAGTACTGCCCCCACGTGCGTGCCGCTTTCCAACGGGATAGCAAACTTGTGCACGTGCTTGCACAATACCGTTTTTGGAGTAGACTGCTGCATTACAGGAGGAACGGCAATCTCGAACTGAAATTCAGCAGCCGAATGCCACGTGATCTCTGTGAGTCTGTGACTGGTCTACATCTGGTGTAAATGATGGTTCGCACTGGTCAAAACATGTTGTTCAGTACATAACTGTAGAAGTCACTCTGCACTATTTGTACGTGCAAATCGATCCTCAGTCGACCAACCGGATTCAGCCGGCTTATCTGGATATTCCTATCCCACAGCTAGATTCACAATATCCGCGCTTTTTTCTGACCGGAGCAACCGCGATAAATCATGATGTAAGCTCTCTTCATTAGCCTCTGTGCTACTGCCTATCGGGGCCTATGCTACCGCGACTAATAAACCGTCTGACACGTCAAGATTTATTTATCTTATTTGAGGCGGTCAACCAAACGACAGAAAGCGTGTGTTAAACTCTATTTCACCAAAACGTTTCGGACTTAGGGCTTGCTGCAATCGGGTGCGATAACTACCACGACTACCAGTGCTGCTGTGCGCCGAAAGAAGTGTTCGGGAGACAGTATGCATCGACAGAAAGCGAGAGCAATGCCTGAGCAAGAGATGGCTTTTGCTCAGTTTTACATAGATTACGGCCATAGTCAATATCTGGGTGATATGCGATTTTTCAGTCCGACTCGTCCTCCCTAGGGAGAACAATTTCGCTGATTCTATAGATAATAGGTATACTGATTACCGGAGGGAAGCGCGTAGCTGCCTTCACATCGCTATCTCAGGTGAGTGTGTGCTGCGTCATGTCTAGCTGCTCCCTTTGGGTGTTATTGCGGTAGAACAAAACTCTTGGAAATGAGATTCCAACCAGTTTAGCCTGCTGGGTCATGACAGAAGCAGCGTCCACAACGTTGAGGTGACGGATCTTGATTGGGCGTGTTACTACAGACTGAGGGAGATCAGTGTGAAAATACCAGCAATCATTTATGATATCAGCTGCAACTTTTAGCATCATGTGAGCATTGTGATAAGATCATTACACCCAGCTGTTCACGCGTTCAACTTAGCTCAAACTGTCTGTCCCTAATTTCTCCAGCTGTTTCAGTGTGCGCTTGGCACAAAACCAGGTGGCCTGCTTGTGATAAGGAAAGTCACACTGTTCGCCGTGTCTCCTAGAAGGTCATACTGTGAACGATTTGCCCGACCTCTTGAAGGATGATCTGACGCACAGCCTGTCGAAAGTTTTTTTTTAGATATTCCACTTGCCTAGATCGATAATGAATCTTTTTTGCTGAAGGTGTCCAACAACTATGCGGCCGGTGCGATTCCTCCTAACTGTCCACAATTGCAGTTGTCCCCTGTGAAGTGATAAAGCCCCACTTAGTAGTACTTCTGTTTGATCCGTTGAGGCGCATTACAATAGTAATGCGCCTCACAGCTATGATTTTCCTTAAGTCCCTTCGGCTAATCTTTCTAGAGAGGAACAACTCTACAGAACTTTTGCTGACTGTGTATCCTGAAAACTTCAACACAACGTGCACACCTACCGTGTATTGGATCCCCAAGTTAGCTGCCTGTCAGACCCTCTCATATTTGGTTGACAGATTTGTCAACTTGATCACGACGTCTCACTGATTTAGGGGGTTACTAGCTGTGACTTTATCTACTTGTGTGACCTGTTCTGTCGAGGTCATGTTGAGGTAGACCGGATTCTCTTTGGCATCAACGTACAACTAGAAAAGGATGGATCAGAGTCATCACCGCGTGTCCGATTGAGGAGCGCCAGATCCAACTATTTCCGAAAGTTGTTTAGATTCGTCTCTACAGTATGATCCTTCTTTCGCAGTTTCCTTTAGCCCTTGTGTAAGTTGTATTGCTTGTTTGAGTCGTTGACCAACTAATAGGGCCGGATGATTCGTATTCTTCGGAACAAAACAGCCACATGCCGTATGCTACGGCCATTTTGCCCAAAACTACCCTCTCATTACCATCATCAAGGACAGCAATCTAGCGTTGGCACCGGTTTTTCACTACTATACCACCACAAAGTTTCGTTCACTAGGATGAATAAAGGCGAGAACTTGATTGGTCTAGCCTACTGCGATCATCAATTGTTCTCATCTATGGGCTCTGCTCATGAGTTTCCGTTGGTCAATATCGATATTTCTAATGAAGCGAAGAGAAATCTGACAATGTCTAACTTGTGTTTTTCGGTAAAGTTTCGCTAGACACCTGTATGCGGTAGCCAAAATCCAAAAAGGATATTTTTCAATCGTTAGGATCAATCGAAGAGACTAGCATCGCATCTAATGGTGTTGCTAACTTCTCATCCATTTTCCCCTTCAGCGGTTCACGGCACTGTGTCAAGTCACTGGTCCAATCGATGAACGGTTGGTCGTCTTCAAGGATGGCACTTGTTTGGCCTACTCGGAACCGCCGGGTAAGATTATTCGAGATGTATGACTGGCTTTACGTTGCGATTCTGCCCCGTGTGCCTAACAAGACAGACCACCGGTAGACTGACTCGTTCTTGGTTCGAATATGCATCGGTTCCCATCCATTTATGGGAGCTCGAGATAGCTCTTAGAGGTTAATACGCGAAATTACTGATCGGAAAGTTCGAACCCAACCCCGTTATCTCCACTGATCATGTGTAGGCTTGGGCAACCTGACAGTACCTCAGCCTTCGTGCTTCCTTCGGGTGGTATGGCAGCTAGGCACCAGCTGAACGGGTATCCTTATCAATCATCGTCCATTCATGGAAAACCTCCCGAACCGTGAACCGATCGAGAGTTTGTTAATCTTACATTTGGATCTGTGTTACATTTGTATAATTCCACGAATGGGTGTTTTCGCCCGCTGTGTTTACGGTCTCTGTCTGCCTTGCCCTCTCAATTCTAATGGGCCATTAGGAATCATCTTGGTACCGTCTACTTTCTTGGATAATTGGGTTAACAACTCATGTGAGATCCATTCGGTTTTTAGGCTTGTTCAAGCCTGCTACGTCGTTTAAAGTGTCAACCAATGAACTCCGTTCCCCCACTGAACATCACTCCATGTCTCTGAACTACAATCCACTTTTGTCGGAGTGTCGGTAAATTCTCCGGGTGGGACTACCGTCTGTCATGAACGTGTATTCTATTATTTTATCGAGCTTGCAATAGTTCCGTGTCCGGGGTGTGTGTTACCATCGGAATGGTTCTCAGTTCAAGGTCAATCTATGGTTTTCACTTGTGCTTATCTGGATTCGGACAAACCGGTACCATATCATCCCTTGTGCTCTTATCTGGTTGCCTGAGCGACCCGGTTCCCTTTCGGTTGGGGCGCTTCGAGCAAATTTTCAGCTTTTTCACCACCATGGCTGTTTAGATCCGTCACTGGGTTTGGATCTAAAAATAAACTCAGATGACTCCAAGAGTAAGTACCTTGTTGTCTAACGACCATGCATGGTTGCAGGTTGGGTAGTGATTGTTCACAATACCACTTGGATTACGACCGTTTTACTCTCTCGGTTATGATAAACCCAGGATCCTTTTCATAGAATGGACCGATACTCTACACTTCCCCTCAAGTGTTACTTGTTGTTCTTCCAACACAGCCTCTGACAAGTCCACAGTGACCGAACATGTGTCGGACTGGATTTTACGTGAACGCTATCCGTCCTTTCAGGAACTGCATTTGTCATCTTTATGGGAATTTGGCGAGGCTGAAATCGCAGCGTCCAAATCACGCATTTATCGCCTGGTTGCTCTGTTCCTTCTACCCCAATCCTACCAGACTGACTCTAACTCAAGGAGGTTTGTATTCACACATGTTTTTGTGCATTTTTGCCATACTCGTCGAGTTTGGTCACATTAGTATCGGGTTTCGCTCCATGTATTTATCTCTTCGTTTCCTGAAATGAGAACATCGTGCTTCTCCATAGCTTGCGTGTATAATCTCAATTGCTCGTGTTCCAGGACTCGTTTTACGTCACTTGGGCTTAGGGACGAGTTCAAGGCTCGTAACCACTCCTGTTTTCTTTCATTTTATCCCTAACAGCCAGTAAACACCTATCTTCAGTTTTCGTGCCAGCGTTGTATCGGGACATAGCTGAGTAATTTCGGTTTTTTTGTTGGTTCATCCCGATTGTTTCGTGGGCTCAAAGGTCTGTCTATTCGGAAGCAATAATCACATCGTAGACAGGCTGGGAAAAGCATATTTCCATGTGGTTCTCAAGTGTCCCATCGACCACCAGAGCCGTGGGGCTCAAATATATCATTGTAATCGAGATAGCTCAGTTGTTAAGGCACATAATTACCTATCGGAAGTTTCACGGCTCGAACTCAGCCCAATTCTGATTGTTCCGGAAACCCGGCGGTATCTCGGCCTCCGTGCTTCCCTCAGGTTGTACGGCAACTGTATACCGAAAAAGCGCCACGGCTGAACGGTCCATATCATTAGTAATACTGCAGTGACATACATATTTTGGTGTGTGCCCATTCCATCCCTCTGCAACTGCTAAATAAGTAGCATGGATACGGTGTTCCGTCGTCTTGTAAAATAAGAAAATAAATAGTTCGACTGTAGCATCCTTTTGGTACCTATCTGTCATGCCACCTTAAGGAAGCACGAGAGCCAGGTTGCTCAAGCCCACACGGGGAAAGTCGAGATGCAGAGGTCGGGTTCGAACCACGGACCTTCCGGTCAGTAAATTCGCGCTCTAATCGCTGAGCCACCTCGCCTCCTCGTCTTGTGGGGCTTGTTAAAAGTCGGGTGCATCGATTGTACCGAACAATAGGATCAACCGACCATTCAGCTCTGAATCATCTATTACCGTGAATGCTGAGACACGAAAGTTGACTGACAGCAACTTGACTGGTTGCAGACATTATTAAGATCAAATCTCAGACTTTTTGTCAATCGTTCAGAGGTGAAATAATACTCAAAAGCTCCGAACATCGTTGCGCACTCGTAATGATGAGCGTGGCTTGGATATCGAGTTGCTTACAATACGGATTGGCCGAATTATTTTGTTAGCCTGTGATTAAGTCTCAGATTCACACTTTCTCGGTTGATATTAACGGTTCGAGCTGGACTAACCTAGCGGTTCCCTACCCTGGCTTGGTTGGGAGAGGTGACAGTCCAGCTCAGCCGTTTCACGTCATTAGAGGGAAAGACGTGTACTAGCAAACACGATCAGTACAAATTTACTTTGGATGTAACATTGCTTATGGTTGTGTGTGTTCAATGTATTCGTAAACCAATGAGAATCGGCCGATTGATGAGAAAAATGGGATCGATAGCCGCGTGGCGGGCAGACGTCCTAAATTAAAGCGCCACTTAATTTGGCCTACTGAAACGTCTTCAGTAGTTCGAGTTGAGGATTGGTGCCCACCCTACTGTCCACTTGTACTCCCGACGGCCGCTCGCAACATCCGTGTCGCTTGTTCTTAGCCATCCTCTCGTCACTTCACTTAAGAACGAGAAGGCAGAAAGTAACAGGATAATTTGTACTGTGCAGCGGGAGTCACAGAAGCTCATAGAGCCCTGCACACTGAGTCTAACCGCCCTAGGTGGAGTGTACACCCCAATATATTTCCGCTAAAGTGCACGGCGGGCTGTGAGGATATACATATGGCTTCTTAACCTTCGATTTAGCATTTTCATAGCGTAGATTCTTGATGACGGTAGCAACATCTTCATCCCACTTTCATTGTGTAGGCTTTTTGAATTGGGACAGTCTTTGGCCCAGCAACGGCTGAAACATCTTTCCAGGTAAGTACATATTTATTGATTAGATCTACTGACGCAAATGAGTTTAGCGTAATTTTATTCGGTTTCATAGTTCAGTTAAGCAGGATTGGGCCAGACAGCCCGGCTCTGTGTGTACTCACCGATGTCATTTGCGGGACTCAACCCTTCACGTGTACTGGCTTAGGTAAAGTCCACCCCGAAAGTCCTGCCGGTCTCCCACATACCATCCTGAGCGAACCTTCGTCTCTAACATCATACCTTTCCAAATAAAAACCAACGGCGTTTTCCGTTCGTCGTGAAGAGAGTGAGCGCCCCTTCATGTCTCTTTTGGAGAGGTTATTTTGATTTTACTCAGGTGAGCAGTTTACATCCGGAAACCGAAGAATGGGAAGACTGGCGACAAACTCGGACCTTTTGCCATTTTTGTGTACATGCCTTCCATTACATGGATCTCGATACAGAGTTCTGACTGTGCTCCCGTTTAGTGTTTTGAAACTGCTAACGGGGTCAGCGAAATACATTCGTTTGCGAACGAATTTGGTGTTTCGAGAGACTCACCTGTTTTCGAGCAACTGAGTGTGCTGCATCAGGCCGCAGATAAGTGTATTTCGCTAATTTTGTGCAATTTGGTCTCAAACAGAACACAAGGTTGACGGGAAGTCGACGAGTGCGACTACCTGATGAGCTCCAAGAAGGGGCTGTCGTGGGCTGTCGAAGAATTTTCAGCAACCTCATGAGTAGTGTATTACTTCTATACATATATCGCAATATTTCGAATGTCGTGACAATTGAAACATGATGCGTCCTGGTGCAGCACATTCAGTTGCTTAAAAACACCATAAACAAGAGATTCAGCTGACTTCCAGGCGGGTCTGTTGAGAAAACAAATATGTTTCCAAATGAGCCTATTTCGCTAGTGCTATTTGGTTTCAATGAGAACATAAGGTTGACGTGAACTCGGGGGCTGCGTCTACCTGATGAGCCCCAAGAAGGGCGAAACCGGTCGTGAGCTGTGGAAGAATTTCCAGCAACCTTAAGAGTGGTTTGTTACGTCCTTAACTGGTAATGTTATTTTTTTCAACGTTGAGCAGCGATGGTTTATACTGTGTACAACGCTGTCTCTCACCTGCCAGCGCCAAGTTGGTCATTTCTAACTGTTTTACGATTTGGTGATGGTGATTATCGAGGTAGGATGCAATCAATCATGCTAAAAAAGTTGGCTGCATATTGCCTCAACAACCGTGGAAAACTCTTACTCAAAGAATCATGAACGATCTCACTACTTCCAACAAATACTGATGTTTGCCTTTCGGACATATCACATGTTCAAACACGTTTCCCAACATTTTTCGCCAATTGTACATGTTGTGACAGATATCGATTCGCTTGGACAGAGGCATACGCAGCCCTGGGCGATCTGGCTATGGTCAATTTGTCGGCACCCAGTATGGTTGTCGTGGACCCTGTGACCCAGGTGATCTACCTGAATCCAAATCAGTCATTGCTTGGTGGCCTGTTCACACTTGAGCCCGAAGTTGTGGTCAGCTTTTTGCTGGCTGTCTCAGAAGGCCGTGTTCAGGTGAGTCTCTCTCTCTCTCTCTCTGTATTTGATTGTTACTAATCTGTTACCTTGCTACTTTTATGCGATCATTATCAGCTTCATATGTATTGTATGATCAACGGCTTCCGGATTCTGATTTTGATCAGCTGATCAACTAAGTTACTTGGAATAAGTTAGGTTTTGGCCCCCGTTTATGCCTTTCATTATGTTGTCGGCTGCTGTTTTAAGACATTGGCCCTCTTTCTTAAAATAAGTGGGCCACTCCCTCTGTAGTTCTGCTCATCTTCTGGTGAAATTTTGAACAGCAGTTTATCCGTGTTCAACATCGCAATTGCTGAATCACCCATTGAACTTGTTGTGGGCATGGATGGATTTGGTGACATCCATCTTTACGGCCTCTGTTCTTTTCACTTGTCCCCTGTATATCGCGAGGCAAAGATTCGTATATTCTCGTTATCGTAGGATGAAAAGATTCCTTTAACGTCTTTGCCCGACCATTAGACCAGAACCCAAATGAAGGCACTCATGTGGGGTTCGAATCTTAGTCGTTGAAACGGTAATGATGGGTGAAAACGGTGCCGAAGATGTTCTATTGTCCACTGAACATTGGCTGACATATCCAACTAAAATTGACACGAACAAAAACATGGGCTCCGGGGGACGCGAATTAAGCTTATCAGATAATTGGATGATCACAAGTGCCGCCCACACACCAGACGATGGCACCGATGTGAAACGGCCGACAACCATTTTAGACTATTTACATAAAGCTTCATGATGAAAAGGGGGCGGAGTTGGAATGCGGTCCACTGCTTACATCTTGAAACACCCAGCTGGACAGAAACGGACGCACGATGGCCGTTGTCATAGGCTTGCAGCTTAATCTCCACCCAATCGCCGCGAGGGCCATTGGGAAACCCATCCTGACAGGACGAATGTACCGCAATCTCTCTCTCTCTCTCGCCTTCTTCCGCCTGTCTGCCCTTTGATTCCCATCTAACGCTCGTATCGGTCGAGCTAACTCGCCATGCACTGTAAACGATCAATCAACCTTAATTTTGTTGCTGAATGGTTGAAGTGCCTGTTCCCCTATTGATAATACTCCATTCTAGCCAGGGTTACGAGGCCTGGATGGTCAGAGACTTGAAGACGCCATAAGTAGCGGAATAACACGTTATAATCCGATTACCGTGAGCAAACTATCTACAAGAATTTTCGCAATCATTTGAACTTGGACCAAGTACACCACAATGTTATCTTCTGATTGGTGTGTTCCTGAGATCGGTCGGCAGCCAAATGCGGCCAGCGTGTGTCAGGTCGATGTGCGCATGGTTGTGTGCTGGAATGTACTTGTGTTCGTTGTTTTGCTGGCTGCGATGCGTCATTCCACCACTGCAGTTGACGTAGTTCATTTGTGTGTTGACCTCTAGTGTTTTTAGCGCACCTCCGTTTCACCTGTGACCTGAATCCTGGCTGTTCAACTCCTAAGTCAAGCGTGAACATGTTCACCTGTTCAGACCGGAAAATTCAGATGCCACCAGCTTGTAGTAACACGCTCGCCTCGCAAAGTTCAAGCTCCGGCACAGCCGAGGTTATACACTACTGATGAGCTCTACTAATAACGAAGCTCGAGTCCAGCGCTCTCCCTCTTTAGGATGGACTCACCGAAAAGGATTGTGCGTGTTCAGACTAGAGTGATGTGATGGTGCATTCTACAAATCCTGCAACCGCCCACAAGTAAATTTTTTTTGTGAAAACCCAGAAGCTTGCATTTTCTTCAAGAAGTATATCCCTAGCTGACTGGTCTTTCAGTATTCACCATTCCGAAGGACAGACTTATCCGAACAGGGGTCACCCCCTTTGACTGCCTACAACGGCCTTCCTCGTCAGCATTGAATTGCTATGCTTGGAGATTTTTCTCTCGGGGGGTCCCCGAATTTTCCTTTCATCATAATCGGTTTTCCGTGTGTCTACGGATGTTCCAGTGAGATCCAGTCCCGAAACAGAACATGCGTCCTGGCCTTATCCGATCGATATGCGTTTTGATGTTAAATCTGTTCCTCGCGTAAACCACATAGTCTATGTGGTTATTGATAGAGAGGGAGAGAGAAATGCTGTCGTTGAACACACAAATCAGTCCAAAATTTTTCTCTTTTTCGGCCAGGGTTTCGGTGGGAATTCGTTTTTGGTCCGGCTGCAACGTATTGCAATTATGATTCGCGGAGTGCTTGTGGTAAGCCGTGTATCTCTTTCTGGTCAATCCCCGTACATCACCTTTCTACTCATGTCTATTTTTATGCTGTCATCCCACGTTTCCGCCGAGGCTTTTTGTTGCCAAATTCAAAGTTTGATATTGTTAACTTGGACCAAGTACACCACAATGTTATCTTCTGATTGGTGTGTTCCTGAGATCGGTCGGCAGCCAAATGCGGCCAGCGTGTGTCAGGTCGATGTGCGCATGGTTGTGTGCTGGAATGTACTTGTGTTCGTTGTTTTGCTGGCTGCGATGCGTCATTCCACCACTGCAGTTGACGTAGTTCATTTGTGTGTTGACCTCTAGTGTTTTTAGCGCACCTCCGTTTCACCTGTGACCTGAATCCTAAGTCAAGCGTGAACATGTTCACCTGTTCAGACCGGAAAATTCAGATGCCACCAGCTTGTAGTAACACGCTCGCCTCGCAAAGTTCAAGCTCCGGCACAGCCGAGGTTATACACTACTGATGAGCTCTACTAATAACGAAGCTCGAGTCCAGCGCTCTCCCTCTTTAGGATGGACTCACCGAAAAGGATTGTGCGTGTTCAGACTAGAGTGATGTGATGGTGCATTCTACAAATCCTGCAACCGCCCACAAGTAAATTTTTTTTGTGAAAACCCAGAAGCTTGCATTTTCTTCAAGAAGTATATCCCTAGCTGACTGGTCTTTCAGTATTCACCATTCCGAAGGACAGACTTATCCGAACAGGGGTCACCCCCTTTGACTGCCTACAACGGCCCTCCTCGTCAGCATTGAATTGCTATGCTTGGAGATTTTTCTCTCGGGGGGTCCCCGAATTTTCCTTTCATCATAATCGGTTTTCCGTGTGTCTACGGATGTTCCAGTGAGATCCAGTCCCGAAACAGAACATGCGTCCTGGCCTTATCCGATCGATATGCGTTTTGATGTTAAATCTGTTCCTCGCGTAAACCACATAGTCTATGTGGTTATTGATAGAGAGGGAGAGAGAAATGCTGTCGTTGAACACACAAATCAGTCCAAAATTTTTCTCTTTTTCGGCCAGGGTTTCGGTGGGAATTCGTTTTTGGTCCGGCTGCAACGTATTGCAATTATGATTCGCGGAGTGCTTGTGGTAAGCCGTGTATCTCTTTCTGGTCAATCCCCGTACATCACCTTTCTACTCATGTCTATTTTTATGCTGTCATCCCACGTTTCCGCCGAGGCTTTTTGTTGCCAAATTCAAAGTTTGATATTGTTATTCTGTGAGATATTGCTGTTGAATTTGTCTTCAAACCAACCCCCCCCCCCGAAAAAAAGAAAACAGTTCAAACCGTAGAGAGTATTGATTCTCATTAATTGGAGGAGTACTCGTCAAAATTTGTGGGGCGGATAAGTCCGCGACACTGAGGAAAACTGCCCATTCTCCGAAACTCCAATTTGGGCCTGATCGCGTCTCATTTGATCAAGGTAGTAACACCTACTCACATGCAATCGAATTGTATTGTAGCACGTTCAAGCCACCTGTGATGATATGTGTGCGAAAACTCAGACAGGTAAGCGTCCTGTCGACCTCATCGTACTCAAGTAAACCCTATCCAAATAGTTCGATTCTGTTGTCGGTCAACAGTTGTAAATGGAGTCGCTTCGGTTTTGGGCTTATATACTGCACCATTTCAACTCGAGTCGCAGGACTCATCCCAACCGCCGGAGGGGCAAACGCTCTGTCCTCATGTCTTGTTCGGTGATTGGTCTTCATCATGGAAAACAACTCACCAGGAGAAGATTCCTCACAACCTAACCCAGTGTGCACGTACTTTTCTGTTTCGTCCTACATGGGCTAACGTTTTCAGTCCACAATCGATTTTTGTATACTGTTCAGCCGCATTGAGGTTGACCAATGGGATCTCACGGTCATGTTCTACTGGGTTCTGCACACGGGGGGGGGGCACCTTCGAAATTTGACCCCGTTTATTACTTTCACAATAAATCGGCTCTTTAGCAGTAGACACCAAATCAGCGTAATCCGACCTGTACTTCGACTCTCAACCCTTCGGAAACATCTCGTAAGGTGGAGACCACAGTTTCTTCACGCACGAAGTTTAACCGAATAATCCATACAGTTGCCTCGCAGACTGTCAATCACCTCCTAAGAATTCTGTTGATGTGCGAAACTGTAGGTAGGTGTGATTGTCACGACTGGCACTACTGATGGTGGAATCCAGTTTGACTGGAAAATTAATCCCAGCACGTTTCTGTTGCATTAGTCAGCTGGTTGGGAAAGTGGAAACAGTCAACACCATTCAAAACAAATGCGACTGGTGAACAGTATGAAGCAAATAAAGAGGTGATTGTTGAAGCCTTCTATAGCTAGAACTGTTAGTTCTCGCTGGGATACAGTTCCATTTAAACCCAGCTGCCTCGCCTTAAAGATTTCTCTATTCTAACTCACCCCCTTAAACAACTCAGCTAAGATGCTTACGCTTCCCTGCATAACCGACCTTCCTGCTCCATGTTTGGTTCACAGGATTTGCTAACCAACCATCCCCTAATCTCGCTTCTAATGCTGGGCATTCCCGTGGCGCTACTGAGCTTCGTATGCTATTTGTGTTTCTGCTTGGACGACCGTTACGATGACTACGATGACTTGGAAACCGAAGTGGCTAAACTGTTGGAGTCTGACAACTACTACGCAGACTCAGCCGTGGACCGCATCGACCCGGATCACCATCTTCAGTCGAGAGTTGCAGTTCAAGGTACGAGTACATTCCTGTCCCATTCCATATCCTGAACGGCTCTTGCTCA